AATTTTCAGTAGCCACTAACTTGAAAAGTATTTGCTTTACATTATTAAACATTTTTCTCTTATAATTAGTTCTTTCATCCACACCCAAAGTTATTACACCACTGAAAAGAAATGGCATATCCCCGGGTAGTGCAAAAGAGTCTAAATTGTTTTCACTTTTGAACTTGAGAGTAAGATGAGCCTAATTCCAAAATTCCAAACGAATTGGAAAACAGTAAAAAAAAAAGTTCAGACCCAAAGAGCTCCACTGAGTAAATATTCCGTACAAAATGCTAACCATATGAATTTTTGACACAATGAAACTTCTAAATAATTTTTTGAATAAGTAATTTTTTTTGTATTGTGACTTAGTATAGTGAGGCAAAACGACCGCAAATTGAATATTTTTGAGCGCAATCACTTATGGCTCGTCTCTTTTGCACGAATGCGTACGGCGAATCTGTTCGCAAAGTGCGCAAACAAAATTATTGCAAGCAAAAGCTATCCACGCGTACGTTGAGAACACGATTCGCCGTGCGCGACAGTCGCATGCGCAGACTGTCAGACGCGTGTTATATTATTTGCATCTTATATTAATTTAATTATGACACATCTCAGCTGCTTTTCGACAATAATAATGTAGACATTACATTTTCTTCATTTTTAATCATGAATTTATTATATTTTAATATTGCCTTAGCCTATAAGTGAATAGAAATGTTGGGCAAATGACAGTTGTCATTTGTTTTTATTGTCAAACCATGCCTCAAATATTTTAAAGGTCAAACAATGATAAGCGTTTTTTTATAATTTTTTCCATTTATTACTACAATCTAACTATATTTCTATGAATCAAAACATTCTAGAGAATTTCCCGAACAAACTTCAGGAAGATTCATGAAAATCCGAATTATAGTTTAGGAGGATTAATGAAACTTACATTGTTACAGAAGAATTTTATATATAAGATATATATATATATATATATATATATATATATATAGGGTGGTCCTTAAAATGGTCATTTTCGAATTTCCTTGCTCCCAGGGGCTCAAATGGTTCCAAATAGATAAAAAACAATTCTCTGAAAGTTTTAGCTCTTAATATTAACGTTTAGATAGAGCGCAATTCAATCAAAGTTTTATATGGAAATAGCATGGAAAAATTTTCAAAAATTTTAAAAATGTTTTTTAGATGTAATTTAGCGAACAAATGAATAAATAAAACTCATTCATTTGTCGCTAACTTATACCTAAAACATTTTTTTTTGATTTTCAAAATTTTTTCCATGCTCTTTCCATACAAACTTTGATTGAATTGCGCTCTATCTAAACGTTAATATTAGGAGCTAAAACTTTCAGAGAATTGTTTTTTATCTATTTGGAACCATTAAGGTGGTCCTTAAAATGGTCATTTTCGAATTTCCTTGCTCCCAGGGGCTCAAATGGTTCCAAATTGATAAAAAACAATTCTCTGAAAGTTTTAGCTCTTAATATTAACGTTTAGATAGAGCGCAATTCAATCAAACTTCCTATGGAAAGAGCAAGGAAAAAAAATTGAAAATTTAAATAAAAATGTTTTAAGTATAACTTAGCGACAAATGAATGAGTTTTATTCATTAATTTGTTTGCTAAATTACATCTATTTAATATTAAGAGCTAAAACTTTCAGAGAATTGCTTTTTATCTATTTAAAACCATTTGAGCCATGGGAACAAGAAAATTTGAAAATGACCATTTTAAGAACCAGCCTAATATATATATGTATGTATACATGGCTTAACGGTTAATCTCACTGTCTTGTGTGAACAGGGCCGCTCTGTAAAAGATCAGAAATATGTTTCCAATTAAAAATATCCCAATAGTTTTCAGTAGAAAATGGATTTGATTATATTATAATAATTAATAATGTACAATAAAGTACATGAAGATTTTGTTGCAAGAATTGCAAATCTAAAGAATTTAAAAAGTACAAGTAGAGAACTAATCTGCAATATCTATTAATTTTAAACACATTATTTTTCATCTCCGACGTTTTTGTTATAATTTAATTCATATAATATCATGATTTTGATAACTCCAAAAACCCCAAGCATCCATATGTTCTAAATCCCATAAAAACTAAAATTTTGGTGATGCACAAAATTTCAATTACAATAAGTAAGTTACTCTCACTTCATATTATCAATGATTTTTTTAAAAAATATGTGGTAATAAATTAAATTATAATGTTCATGTGAGAGCTTTTACTAATATTAATTACTTACTATACAGTTACTTATAGCCTATAAGTTATAGGTATCTGAGAGACTCAATCTCAAACAGAAATATATAAATAATAAATAACAAATAAAATTGAGCTTGTTGCAGTTCGAAATGTTTTAATACATTTTATTTTGCTTTGTTTTAATATAAAAAATAAATTCATTAATAATAATATTTAATTTACCATACATACATTTTAATCTTTAACTTTAACGATTTTATTTCCTTAATTAGTGGTTCATAGCGTAGTAGTAATAGCCTTAAGGCAAATTGCTGGAACTTTCTGAACCAAAAATTAATATTTTCAAAAAAGTTTTAAGATTTTTAGAAAATATTGAAACAAAATTTTTTCAAAATTTTAAATTTCTTGAAAAAAAAAAGATTTGTTTTATATTCCGAAAATTTTCGAAATTCTGAACTTTTTTTTAAAGCAATGCAGTTTAACATTTACTTATTAAAATATTAATAAAATACTGATCATTTAATGTGCATATGGCTAATGATCAGTTTTCACTACCAAATACCAATTTTTGGATTTTTTCTTTAAAAACCTTCGAGAAGTTAAAAAGATCAATAAGTTTTTCTAACATTATTTCAAGAATTAGAATTTTGTAACATAGATTTTGTTATAATCGGTTTCTAAAGTTGCATTTAAATAACCCAAAAACAAAAGATTAAATATATGTTGAGTGATTTTTATCGAGCATGGATCCCTCTTTGGAAAGCAATGAGCGAGAAGAGAAGCTTTTACAAGCCGCCACTGTTTTAATCTGGTAACATATACTCGTATATGCAAAAGCGAAGTCATTTTCAATGAAAAGTTTTGTATATAATTCGAAACAATGTTCTCTTGGTTCGATTTAAAGTTTGTAATTAGTTTCGTCACGGACTTGGTGCCTTCATTTGCGAGGCGGCTTCCTGGCACAGAACGAAAAACGAGAACATTAAATAAATGAGGATAAGAAATACAGACTTTAACTTTCTTGTTGGAAATAGAAGTAAGGTAGGAGTGCTTTTTGCTGACAAATATAATGAATCCAATTGTCCTCGGGACAACTTTGAATTGTCATTAATTTAAAAAATTATCAGATCGTCCTACTGATAAAAATTGACACCAGCATTTACTATTTATGTCCTATTTCTTCCCTAGCTTTGATTAATCTCTATTTTTAAGCATTTTTCAGATTGTTGATAATATGATTATGAGATGAAGAGAGAACTAGGTTTGTCCAATGATATCAAAAGGCTCGCTACGTAATGTAGAAAAAATATGGATTAAAAAAGAAAAAAAAAACGCAGATGATTAATGACTTTAAATAAAATAGATGCTAAATGCAGAAAAAAATCTCTTACATTCGTGTTCATCCAGATTACTAATTATTATTGAACATGTCATAAATTTCTGTTCAATACACATAGATTTCTCATTATTCGCACTAATTAATTCAAGATGCAGATTAATACTTTAGTTTAACACAACTTCGAAACTAAACTTGGTGTATTTTGCCTTAAGGCAAGTTATAACTAGAGGTGCATGGCATTGTGTAATCAATAAAATTTGATTAATAATTTAACTATAAGTTATAAGTTGAGGCAACAAATGGTATTGGAATTCTAAAGATTATAATACTTGGTTCGGACCCAAACAAAATTTGTAACTTGTAAATTTGTCAAATCTGATAATTTGATGTGCGTATGCATGACAATTTTTAACAGCCAAATGGCATTTTTGTTACTTTTTTTCTAGGTCTCTGAAATCGTTGGTCCTGCCTTTCCTAATATTTAATCAATCATTTGCTCGGTCAATACAAGTGAAATGTTTCTCAATTGCCATTTTTTTAACTTTATGTCCTATGACTTCATAACGGCTGGATATGTGACTTATTTAAAAACGGGATACAATTTTTTGGTCTAATCAGCGTCTCCCTATCAATAGGAACCAAATGTTTTTTAAATCACTCAAATCGTTTGATCTTTGCTCTCAAAATTGTCGACAAAAAATTGTATCCCCATAGACATATATACATACATACATATATACATTTTTCTAAGGTATGCAAAAATGTTCTAACATCTTTGAAACGTGTAGAAATGCAAAAAAGTTATTTTAATTTTTTTTGCAATTGCTATAACTTTCCCTAGTGGAAGTTAAAAACTTCTCGATACGTCGACTTGATCAATAAAAATTGAGATTTAGCAACTTTTAAAACAGTCAAGTTAGCATTTTCAAATTTTGACACGGCCGATTAAAATAAGCTTTAATTTTTATAAATGAACTTCTTTTCGTAAGCCTCTAATATTTTAGAATGTTAGTTCAGATATGAATTCTATCATACAAAGTATATATAAAAATATATAAAAAATGTCAAATTTTTTTCAACAATTAATTGAAAAGAAATGACGTAGCCTTAATAATAAGCATAGTTTTCAACTGATGTCTGAATCTTGAATTTTCAAAATCAATTCAGGATTTTCGGCTCGGCTAATCGTCTTCAAACGGTTCGGCTAATCTTCATTGGTAGACCTTATGAAATGGCTTTAAAAGTTTGGAAATAGATGTACCCAATTTTGGCTTACATACACATTCACATCCATACCCTTCTCAGTTTTGATCTCAAACCAGTTACAAAAAATTGAAACGTAGAAAAAACATAAAATTAGCAAATCGGTTTTTCTGACCAAAACAAGCTTTTTACCAAAAAAAATATTTGAACCAACGACCAATTGAATGCATTCGTGATGTGTAATTATGTTTACCTGTTGTAAACTGCCGTGCGAGTGTCGTTGCCTGCTGCCGTTGTTTATCTGTTGGGCGGGCTCCACGCGCAAATTGCGCGACTGCCGATACAATACCTCTTGTTCGTCCCTGTTCATCGCTTTGGACTACCTGAAAAAAAAATTAATTGAAATCTTGCTAATAATTATCACATTAAATTCTCTGAAGCAAGTTGTTTTAGGAAAGAATTTACAGCATAAATACTTATGCATATCAGTATAAAAATAAACTAGCTTCCCGTACTAAAAATTGATTTTTTTAAAAAAGATTAATTTTTTTTAAACTTAGATTTTTGAAATAAGATTTTTGAAAAAAAAATTAGGAAAAAATGTTTTTTTTATATTTTGAAATATTTTGGAAGTTTTGAACTTTTTAAAGCAATCGCGCTGCTTCAGCTGCATAGTGACAGTCCAACGGACAAACGACGTTACGGAACCCACAGAAATTGAACAAAATTTATACGTATTATTAAAATCTCCATAAAATATCTGATAATTTGATGTGCATATGTATAATGATCATATTTGACTGCCAAATGGCTTTTTTTACTTTTTTTTACTAGTTTTCCGAAACCGCTAGCCCTGCCTTCCAAAATTTAACCAGCTATTCATGTTGTCAATACAAATAAATCGTTATTTGAATTATTAAAATCGGACGTTCCGTTCTCTTAAAAATTGAGTAACCGTTTTTGACACTTTTTACCCCGAAACGGCTTGACCTGCCTTCGCCAAAAACCAGCACGTCTCCTTATTAATATGAATCAAATGTTATTTGTATCATTAAAATCGGTAGAATCGTGTACCCAAAATCGTCAATGCGAATTTGTATCCGAACATACACATACATCCATTTTTTTCTAAGGTATGCTAAATTGTTCAGAAACCTCTGAAACGTAAAGATATATAACTTATTCTACGGGAAGTTACAAAAGTCATATTAACTAGATTAATAATATAATCAGACAATCTTAATAGTGTAGTACAGTGACAAAAAGTCAAGCAGCAAAAAGTAATCATTTAGTCCCCGTCAATCTAAGTTGCTGCGTTTTAAATACAAAGTTATGAAAAGTTCATAAGAATGAAAAAAGAAATTTACGTAGAAATGTATTGAAATTATGATACAACTTAGTACCAACGCAGTGTAATTTATCACTTCCAATAAACTAGAAGAACTATTACTATAAAACTAAAAAAGAGCTGTTAAAAGTCACAACAAACTTCTGAAGCAGTAATTTAAACAGCAGCGTAGAACAAGTATTTTGCAAAACTTTTACACAATTATTTGCGTGAAAGTGTGAATACTTTTCTGTTTCATGGTGTAGTGTTTTTCACAATCACAAAAAGCTTTTTAATTAAGTTGAAATTTAGATTTTTTATAACGCATTTTTTATAACATTTATCATATATTTATACAACTTTATTATAATATAAAAAGTTTTTTTCAGACAACCATTCAATTATTGCATAGAAAAAGTTGAGTTCAAAACATTTTTAATTAAACTTGTTTCTAGTTTTAAATTTTCTCATTTTGAGTGGGACGTAGTATATAGGATAGGGCGGGGCACAAAGGTCCAATTTGACTTGGAAAAGCAAACCAATTACAAGACAACAAATAACACATAACAAACGAGCAATCATCTATATATCTTCAGTCAAATCCCTGTTTTTAAAAAAATTGTCACCTGGTCCTTTTTACCCCATAGGCGGAGCTAAATGGGAGGTCAGGGAGCAAATAGGTTCAATGTCTGATTTTTAATTTTAAGAGGATTTTACGAAATTTTACGAAATAGCTACACGCAAAATATAAATTTCATATGCGCATTTTTCATAAAGACAACACTATAATCTTGATCTGGTATTTTATCAGAAATATTTACCTGCAGGGTTCAAATAGTTTCACCATTCGCCAAATGCGCAAACTTTCCAGGATACTTATTTAGTACATTTTTCAAATGAGGGACTTTCAAAGTCGACTAATTTTCAAAATTTTGAATTCATCAGTTTAACAAATAATCTTAATTCTAGAAAACTTGGAGCAGTTGTAAAATTATTTGTGACTGTGATTCTAGAAATGTAAATGTAAATGAATCAATTATAACTATCAAAGTGAAATACGTTGACAAAATATTAAATATAAAAAAAATGTTTTAAGAACATAGTTAAAAAAATAGTTACCTACAATAGAAAATCTATTTTAAACAGTTTTATTTAAAAACTAGTTATAATTATAAATTGTTTTGCCCGACTTTACAACTTATTTTATTTTTACCATTTGTGAATTGCTAGATTAGTCTAATATTAATTTCCATATGTCGATTTTTTTCATTATTTAAGTAATTTCGTTTATTATAATCTTTCAATACTGAAAATTTTAAACTAAAGTAATCGTTCAAAACAAATTTTTAACTGCAATTTTCACAACACGGTTTTACAAAACTAAACTAAAGTTTCGAACTAAACTTAATAAGTACAGTTTAATAAAATTAATTAAATCAAATTTATAAAATTGGTTCAGTTAGTTCTGAAATTGGCGCGTCATCCTACTTTTATTGGCAATGAACGCGGCAAAGTATTTGAAGAAAACGCAGAAGACTCGATCTTGCTCTCCGCATAAAATCAAAACCTTACTCTCCTAAAAAGTCAAATATGATTTTGAAATACATATATTGAATTCCAGCTGAAGTCAAATTAAATATTCTTTTCCGAATTCAGAACCAAATCGATAGTTGTGAAACTCGTGCAAATTCACCTAAGGGCGGGCACGAGCATCGAATAACATTTTTCTAAAGAAAAACAAACATTACCGAGAAAGCAACCACTCGCTCGCTAACTCATTCTGTTTACTATTTAAATATGTAAGTACTTTCAGAACAAGGTTATTTCGTTGAATTATTTTCGTGAATTCATAATATAGACATGAGGCTGGTGAAGATTTTTGCTATAGTGCTCATAGCAAGATATTTTTGAAGTAAAACTTCTTTAGGCGCGACTAGGGTGTAAACCTGTGAGAATGCAACGGAAGAGCGTCACGCTCGAGTCGAGTGCCATTGATTCGTCATTAGCTCTCGATGAGATCATTTCTTTACGGGTCGATTGTGACTGGTCGTCTTGTCACGTGAGTATGATTGTTTTGATTGTATGCGTATCCAGTAAATAATTATAGTGAAAATAATAAAACTAATGAAAAATCTGTGCCGTGTAAGAAACGTAAGTTTATTGAAATAGTTTGTATTATTCGTGAATACTATATATTGTTAGGAATTATTTTTATAGGCAAGACACATACTACACCTGCTCAAAGAATGAGACTGTATCGCCAGCGAAATAGTCAAAAAAACAAACAGTAAAGAATGTATGTTAATTTTAATCGCATGACAAGTGAAACAACTGTTCTCGTTCAAATGTCAAAGCGTACAATTTCATTTTACTGATTTATCTGAACGTAAAGATTACAAAGTTGCATGTTTTTATCAATAATGAATCAATTGATATTTAGATTTATAACTCTAAACAAGAAATCAAGCACAACAATAGTTTGTATAACAGTGTGTCATCTCGTACAATAGCAAAAAAGTTTTACTTCAATAGCGTGTGAACCCGACGCGCACTCTTATTTTTTTAGACTTCATATTTTGGCTCAACTCAACTAATTCTTTATTTCAAACGAAATTACTGATCGCACAAAAACTAAAAAATATTACCGATTTCAAAATTTTCGATGTTCAAATTCGATGTTCTCGTTTGTCAGTTTTGCATGACGATCGGCCAAGCCGTTTCTTTGTAAATAGCAGAAAAGTGAAAAAAAATCGTCCAATAATAAAGTAAAAATCGAATACCGTGGGCATTGCTGCAACATATACATCAACAAATCTAATATACAGGGTGTCCTACAACTGAACGTGAACCCGACATAGTCTTAATCGTGAATGTCATGAAAAAAAAATGAAAAAAAATATATATCATTTAGTTTGAAAATCATGAGCAACTCGGAGCTTTCGTGAAAATGTGAACATTTTTCGGTTATGGTGGATAACTTTTATAAATTTTATTTTCATTTAAAATTTGGATATAAGTGGTGAACATTTAATATTGGAGTGTGGCCTGTTTGAGAAGAACAGACAAGATATGTTGAATAAGCTGCATGAGTGTAGTTGCATAGAAAAACCAGTTAATTTAGTTACAATATTAAGAAGTGTAAAGTGCTATAGTATTTTGGTTAATTTTATTAGATTAAGTGGTATAAATATATAATTATTGTCTATTGTTAATATAATAATGTATGTGGCTGTATTGTTATTAGAGGCCAAATAAAATAAAATAAAAAAAAAAAATTGGATAATCGTAAATAACATTTCTAGGACCACAGTAAAAAATAATGACATAATTGACCAAGTTTTCTAGAATTAGGACTTTTTGCTGAACTATGAATTTAATTTTTTTTAATTTGTTGGACTTGAAAAACCTTCCTTTAATAAAATGCACTAAAGTGTGTTTCATCAAAAGTTGGCGCATTTAATCACAATTGGAAAATTGAAAAATACTGGACAGTTTTGTAATAAGAAAAATCGAGTAAAAACATAAAAGTAATTTAAAATCCTAAAATTATACATTTATCCTACACAATTATCCTTTAATATAATCCTAAGTATCTCTATATTCAGGTAGTTATCATTTTGACTGGCTCGTCGTCTATTAATGTGATGGGCTTTTTATTTTTTATTATTTCAGCGGGAAACGTAGCTATTAAGATAATGCTTTCGGCAACTTTATTCGGCGAGAAAACGTAAAGAAGTTTATTGATACTAAACAGGTCTCTTCAGGAATTCTATGTTAGTACTAAGTAGATAACGAAAATGTCGGAAGATCGCAACACTAATAGAAATTCAAATGTTTATAGGCGGCGACGAAGGACATGTTCATTGTCACTGGTGAAAACTTTATAGTAAAATTAAATAGTACTAATTTGAGATGGTATTCTTTTATTTTGGTATGATTTACATTTTACAGTAGTTAATTATCAATCGATTTCCTGAAGACAATAAGGAAATGAATCATTATTGCTTGTTAGTGCATATGGTAGTTAGAAAATACAATCTGATGACTGCCTTCATATACTTCAAATTAGTACTTCTAAATTAACTTTTTTTAACAGCAATTAGGCTCTATATTAACAAGTGAAATTGGAAATCGTAGTTGCTTGATTTATCAGTTTGCACACAAAGATAGTTTTGAACTCAGATCCTTGTAAAATCATATAAACATCATAGCATTAATTTCTTTAAATAATTGCACTTATGAACAACATGTCAAACAGAAAGTAATTAAAGTTGCAAAAAATCGAAATTATATTTTTTACATCTCACGTTTCAAGATCGTTTAGCATTTCTGAGAAATGAAAATCTGAGAAACTTTTTGTATGTATATTTCTGTATATAATGGATGGGTAGCACTGCCTTAAGGCAAGTCCGTAAGATGAGTTAACCTTCAAGTCAAAACAGGAAAGAATAGTTAAAGATTTGCCATTTGCTTATTTTCAAGTGAAAATTGATATTACTACTGCATGATATCAGGTTACCTAGAGCGGAAGTCTACTCTGTCCTCACAAGGCAGCGCGCTTAACCGTTACGCCATAGAATACCCATTTCTGTATATAATTAGAAGTATTTGTTTGAAAATTGGTGTCTCTAATGAGTGGTTTGAGGAGGACTCCTGCATTTATTTAGATAATTAAAAAATATCCAATTGACAATACGTGAAGGCCCTTGGTTTTTGGGTAGATTCAATTGTTTCTTATAAGTTTAAAAATGAATGATCAACTCAATCAAGTCATCAACAATATACATATTTATATAATACCATACAAACTTTTACTCTGTTTTGGTAACAGTATCATACGATTGGCTCTATAAGAACAAATGTTGAAAGAATTCTTTGAATTTTATTGAACAACTTAAAAAGACTGAATAGGTTCCAAAAATAAAATTAAAAGTGACTAAAAACTATTTTTGGAAGTGTTCACCAAACAAAAAAGAAATTACTATAAAAATTATAAAATTATACTGACTATTAGAGAGAAATTCCAGAATGTGACACAAAAACAAGGTACATAAGGCTGTAATAATAACAACATAAAAATGGCTTAGATATCTGGGAAAGTGCAAGTGGAAGTACTTGCACATCTAAAACTAATTCACCGGACACAAAATAATTTTCATAAAGGCCTAAACATACCAACCGTAAAGAAAATTATATCGGAAAAAAGCAAATATAAACAGGCAATTAGAATTGTTTTTCCAATCTTCAACTAATCTGCAAGGTGCATTTTCTCAGTGAATCTCTAAACGAGAAAAAATAATACCTAAACTCATAGAAATAATACGTCTGATTGTCTATTGAAAAAGAATTTTAAAAGTGCATTTTAAACAACAATGGGTAGCTAATGTCAATATACTTAATTGTATTTTTGTTACGTAGTTATAGAATTTATAAAAACTCTCCTTCGATAATTCAGGTTGTTGGGTTATAATTTGATCCTTGTAGCTGTGAACTGTATTAAACACTGATTTATTTGTATATTATGTATTTGTTGCAGTTCTAATTACAATCACTGATTTGCTACTAAGTTATAATGAAAGAAGATATATTTATTTTTATTGGTTATTTACATGTTGTTAAGCGGACTCTACTTTTTTAAGTAAACTACTAGTTCAATTAAAACACTCCCCTACCCCTTCTACCAGGGGTAGCAACCATTCCGTGTAAAGCTTCATGCCCAGAAGTTTGTTTTGGATTTTTCGTAGGATAAAGTAATTTGTTGCATATATAAATACTTCCAAATTTATGATATTATAAGTGAACATTTTTATTAAATAAATATAATTTAAAAAAAATTATAAATTTATAACAAAATATCCCCACACACACAGATTAGTATTCGTAAACACTCTTTCAAAAACAATAATATTTCCAACGTCTTAGAAGGTACAAAAAGTATAAGGTAGATAATGACATCATCAAACATGATTTCGGAAAATTATTTTTCACACAAATTAAATTTCTAAAAACTCACCTAATAATTTCGCGTCACAAAGGTCTCTCCTGACCTCTCGACATTGGCTCATGCTTGCTCGGCGTAGCAGTTTGAGAACCAGCGGCCTTCATCTGTTACTATATTTTACGCTCTTCAAACTCTCGCAACGCAGTTTGACAAGCGCTGGACACGCTCTGATAAGAATCCCATTTTGATTTTGCTTTCCTGGTGCGGGGAGGAAGGAGTCTTGTATTGGTAGATGTGTCCTCGTCTGTGGACTCGAATAGAACGTACACCGCAGTCAAAATTCATCAGCTGAAACAAAAGGTTCGCGACGACTTTAGTAATTAATGATACTAGAACAGATTACAGGGGTTGGAAATTAAAAACATTGTGGAAGAAGAATAATGGTTGAAACCAATTGGTATTAGGGACTATGATTTAATCATCACATCATAACTGGCACTGATGAACTATTATAGTCGCTAGTTTAATTGTTTCTCAGATATTCACTTAATTAGTAAATATGAACTAAAACTAGTGGTGCATGGCATCGTGCCTTAAGGCAAATTGCTGGAACTTCCCTTACCGAAAATTAATATTTTTAAAAAACTTCTAAGATATTTTGAAACCTAAAATTAGATTTTTGAGTATTTGGAAATTTTTGCAAAAATTTGACTTTTTCGAAAAATTTAAATTTTTTTTATATTTCGAATTTTTTTTATACTTTAAATTTTTAAATTTTGAACTTTTTTTCAAAGCAATCGTGCTCAGTTTAATGTAAAGTCATTGGTACGGAACCCATAGAAAGGTAAACAAAATTCATACATATTATTATGATTCATACATATTATTAAAATCTCTATAAAATATCTGATAATTTGATGTACATGTGTCTAATAATCATTTTTGACCGCCAAATGGCATGTGTTTTTACTTTTTTTTATTGAAACTCCGTAACTGCTAAATCTGCATTTCCAAAAATTTAAACATTTTTTCATTTAGTCAATACAAATAAAATGTTTTTTGAATTATTCAAATCGGACGCTCCATTCTCTCAAAAACTGAATTACCATTTTTAGCTCTTTTTGCTCCGTCTTTGCCAAAAACTAATCAGCATTTACCGATCAAATCGGTTGATCCGTGTTCCCGAAATCATCGACAAAAATTTGTATCTGCACATAAATACATCCATTTTTTCTAAGCTATGGCAATATGTTCTGAAACCTTTAAAACCTAAAGATATTATACAAATATACAAATATATATGATATATACAAATTTTCATTTTCGTTTTTTGCGATTACTGTAACTTAACCTACGGGAAGTTAATTAGGTATGTTAAATGTTGTCAAATAGGTAAGAGCTCATGAATTAGACTACGACGTTGAAATGTTTAAATGGAAAGCAAAAGAACAAAACATAATCAAGCAAAGTTAGAATGAAGGACCTTATCTCATAGTTTTTTGAATCATTAAAATCGGATGTACTATTCTCTCAAAAACCTAATTTAAATTTTATACACTCTTTGCTCGAAACGGTTGAATCTGTCTTTTCATAAAACTACCTCCTTATAAGTCTCCCCATCAATAGGAATAGAATTTTGGAACATTCAAATCAATTGATTCGTACGCCCAAAATCGTGAACGAAAAATTGTATCTACACAAAACACACACATATATTAATTTATTTTAGAGTATGTATGCCAAAATATTCAGAAACCTCTGACAAGTGAAGATATGCAAACAATTTCATTTTTGGACGATTACTATAATTTATTCTACGAGCAGTTAATAATTGTGGAAATTTAGAATTGACATTATTCCAAACTTTAATGATTTTTATATAAATGAACCACTTGTAGTATTATGGATGTTTGTTGAGATTATGAAGCTTATGATCATAAAGTTTCATCACAATCGCCAAAAAACAATGTTCTTATGCATATTTGGATATTTACCAAAAACTAATTAGCAATTCAAACAGTTTCTAAATTTCCAAAATAAGTTTAAAATTTTTGGCGCAAACGTAGACACTTTTTTGTCACAAAGAAATTTGTACAATCAAATATATTCATAATCATAAATCCATATTAACTTATAAATTATATCAATAATTTATTTGACTTTCAGTATAATTCGCAAGGTGTTCAAAATCCATCGGCCGGAAACAAAAGGATAACAAAGGACTTTAGTAATTAATTTAGAACGGGGGTTCAAGATGTGTATTTGTAGTATGTTTAAGATAATGATTGTTACATAATTTAATTAATGTTATTACAAGACCCTTGTACAAGTTGAATTGTTATCCCTTCAAATATGGATTATATCGTAGTCAGTAGTTGCAGTTTGGGTTCCGCCAACATAAGAGGAAAACAATTAACTTTTAATTAAGCTATATGTACACACACATTATATATATATATATATATATTATATATATATAGAATATATAAAATTATGTATATAGATAATAATGCTCAATTTTAAATCCAACTAAGGCATATTAGATACGTTTCGTACAAGTATATATTCTCGAAATATTTTCGATTTTTATTTGACAATTAGTAAACCAGCAGTGATGTAGGTCCAACAGTTTCAGAGATAGGGAACAAAATGTACAGGAATCGTAGTTTTTATAAGTGCTGGCGTTCCACAAGAAAGTGTGCTGGGTCCGTTCCTTTATTTACTATTTACGAGCGATTTTCATTCATTGCCAACTACATCAATTGCCACATTTGCTGATGACATGGCAATACTTTCCTCTGATATCAGCCCTATCGTTGCATCTATCAAGATCCAGTTACATCTATATGCTGTCGAGCGATGGACGAAAAAATGGCGCATTGTTATTAATGAGAGCAAATCTTGCCATATTACATTTTCTTTAAACAAACTAAGATGTCCTGAAGTTTACTTTAATTGCCAGAAAATTCCACCAGCTAAAAATGTTAAATATCTGGGAATATATTTGGATCGAAAACTAACATGGAAAACCCACATTATTGCTAAAATAAAACAAATCAAACAGAAGATTGCAGACCTGAATTAGCTGGCTAATGAAGCGCAAATCAATACTATCGTTTGACAACAAATTATTGATAAATCAGTAATAAAGCCCATCTGGACGTACGGTATAGAGTTTTGGGGTTGCGCCAGCTTGTCCAACATTGTTTTAATGCAACGGATGCAATCGTTGGACGCACCTTGGTAAGTAAGTAATAAAATCATCCATGACGACCTCAATATTCCTTTTATCAAGGATGTAATTAGCAGCAGAAGTTCAATCCATCACTCCAAGCTAGAAAACCATCCAATCATCTTATAGCACCTCTACTTATGATTCCGTCTACTAGAAGGTTGAAGAGAAAAATTCCTTTGAACTTGACATAACATAGTGAGCTGTTCATTTGAACAGTTTCACGGATTATTTAGTTTATATCATAATTTCACCTTCAGTTTTAATATATTATAGGTTGTAATAATTATTTTTTTTTTTTTTTTTAATTTATTATATAGTATTTTAATTATATCAGCTCTGTAACTCATAGAGTCATTCTGACTCTGATTGTTATAATTAATAAAAAAAAAGAATAGTAGTTTTTGAGAGAATGGCGCATCCGATTAGAGTTATTCAAAAAGCATATTGCTTGTGTCGATGGGGTTTACTAGGTTTATTATGTTTTCGTTCTTGTAAATAAAACTGACAAATGTTGCCCGAATATAAGCATTATAATATTAGGTTTTTAAATACGAAGATAAAATTACAGTATTTATAATAATTATTTTAAATATTTAAAACAATTTATTGATGATTAATTTTTTAACATTGGCTAATAATTCATTAGTATGGGAAGTTCGTATTCAAAATAACATTCGATTCCTAATGATGGGGAGACGTGATGATTAGCTTTTGGAAGACAGGTCCAGCCGTTTTGAAGATACGGGACAAAAAGTGCCATAATTGGTAATTAAGTTTTTGAGATAACGGAGCGTCCGATTTGAATGGTTCATAAACATTTTATTTGTTCAAACGTTTGACGTAAAATGAAAATTGGTTAAATTCTTGGTAGACAGATCTAGCGGTTTTAGAGAGTAAAATGCAAAAAAAAACATGGTGGTTGGTGGTCTAAAATGATCATTAGGCATATTCACATCAAATTATCAGATATTTTATAGATATAATAATAAGAACATTTTTTTTACATTTTTTTGGGGTTCCGTACCAAGATTTTCACTTATACGTTTCAAACAAATTTCAAAATCTTCAGAAAAAATCTTTTTCCCAAATTTTCAAAGAAATACAAAGTTTTACCTTACTTTTTACTTCAAATATAAATTTTAAATTTACAATTCAGTTCAAAACTGTATATATTTCATATGCGTTATTCTACTCGTAAGAAATATATCCTCAGATCGATTCATTCAGCACTTCTTAAATTAAACATTTTCAAGTGTTTTGAGCGATAAGATCGTCCATAAACGAATAAAAATATAGTAATCATCTCTTTGAAATTATTTAAAACAATTGTTATTAATCATTGATCAATATTTTTTGATTAATATTTTTTGCTCGAATATTTAATTCTGGTACGGGAAGTTCCAGCAATTTGCCTTAAGGCACGATGCCATGCTCCACTAGTTTACATTATATAAACATAGACATACAGATATATATGGCATGTGTATATGTGGCCGTATATGTGCATATTTGTCATGGGCATTCATTCAGTCTCCCTTCCAAAACTTTGTTAGAAATCAACAGTCCAGTCTAATTGAGTTCTGTCAGCGCGCACCCGCTCACGTTAGCGTTTTGTTATTAATGTACCCACATGAGTTGATTAAAACAAGTTTTCCCACTCTGCACACTTTTCTTCTAGATTTCCCGAGCTTTCACCGCGCTAGGGCGGAAGGTGCAAGAAAAAGGGAAAGGAAAAGGCCGCCCCTGGGGAATGGGAAAAAGGGTGGAAAAAACGGGAAAATGACAGAAGCGCGGTTTGTAAACGCGATGATGATTTCAAATCTAGTTAGAGTGGAACAGAACGGAGTTGAACAGAGATTCCCAAATGGCTTTAATGGATATTACATTAGTACGGAGCGAGGCGAAAACGACATTCGAGATTGATATCGTGTATTAAATACGCCGGTAATTCGTGGCAGAGTACTGAGAGT